TGCAATTTTAGAACCAAATTAGAGGCATATTCAGGCACTTCCTGGAGTAATATGACGTAAAATTGATTTCTCCTACCCCTTCCAAGAGTAGGGATCTTTTGAATTTGAGAACCACAATTGGCGCATTAATGTCCACCGGCACTTCATGGAAAAAAAAGAGGCCACTGATTGGTTAGAAGTTAGAGAAAAGTGATCTGTCACGTCGTGAGACGTTGTATAAATTATGCTTTGATGCCGCACAATGCACAAAGACGGTGGTCCGGTACTTCACTAGAAGTACTTGCAAAAATTATCTCGAGTGTTTAAACTGTGTCGTTATCAGGGGCACCGTCAGATATTTTTCAGTGGGGGAGGGGGGGGGGGTGTAGAGGCCACCGATTATCCACAAAACAAGCCACCAATATTATTACCGACAAATATAAAAATGCCAATGTCCAAATGTCTACAAATTTAACCCTGTAAACCCGGGGCCAGAAAATGAGTTATTTTTCAGTTTTTTTTCTCCCGCGCAAACCGCGGAAGCTATGACGTTTCATTTAATTATTAGAGAAAGAAGACGATTCATTGTACCGATCTCGACTCTTAATCCTTGTCTGAATTCAGTCCCCCCCCCCCTCTCCCGCGCTAAGCGCGGAAACTTTGACGTTTCAATTACTCTTAATCCTTGTCTGAATTCATTTTCGCTCATCCCGCGCGAAGCGCTAAAGCTTTCACGTTTCATTAAATTATTAGAGAAAGAAGACGATTCGTTGTATCGTGTTCTTGTCTGAATTCAGTTTTGCCCCTCTCGCGCGAAGCGCGGAAGCTATGACGTTTCATTTAATTATTAGAGAAAAAAGACGGTTCATTGTCCCGATCTCGACTCTTAATCCTTGTCTGAATTCAGTCACCTAGCTCCCCCGCCCGCGCGAAATGACGAAGCTTTGACGTTTCAATACATTATTACTCTTAATCCTTGTCTGAATTCATTTTCGCTCATCCCGCGCGAAGCGCTGAAGCTTTCACGTTTCATTAAATTATAAGAGAAAGAGGACGAATCGTTTTATTGTGTCTTTGTCTGAATTCAGTTCCCCCTCCCACGCGAAGCGCGGAAGCTTTGTCGTTTCGTTTAATTATTACTCTTAATTCTTGTCTGAAATCATTTTCGCGTTTCATTAATGATTAGAGTAAGATTAAGACGATTTGTTGTGCCGTTCTCGACTCTTAATCCTAGTCTGAAATTAGTTCCCCCCCCCCCCCCCCCTCTCGCGCGCGAAGCCCGGAAGCTTTGCCGATTCATTAAACTATTAGAGAAAGAAGACGATTCGTTGTACCGTTCTCTACTCTTATTCTTGTCTGAATTCAATTTCCCTCACTGGGCCTCTTAACGGTATATGTGCAGTGTTACATTATGTAAGTATGGAACGCTCGTTCGCAAATCTGTGCATGCTCAGCCCGAGTGGTGAGGAGCATGTTATCTCCTGGCAGTGCTTTGTACAGTAGCTTCTGGAAAGGAATTAGTGTTACTATTAGTGGCCACTATAAGGCCCTTAGTGACTATAAAAAAACATATGCTCTTCCTGGCTATTTGGGAATGGGTCAGTTTGCAAGAAAATAATGGAGAAACTAGCATTTTGTTTCAAATCATGTGATATCACGAACATTTATACATTACTTGTGAAAATAAGTCATGGTTCAATTTGATTTGGGGGGCTAGCGCCCCCCAAGCCCCCCCCCCTCCCCACCAGTACGCCAGTGGACAATGTGTAAGAAACTACTACTACTACTATCACTCTTATACTACTACTACTCCCACCACCACCACTACTACTACTACTACTACTACTACTACTATTACTACTAATACTACTACTATACTTCTACTTCGACTATACTTCTACTACTACTACTACTACTACTACTACTACTACTACTACTACTACTATTACTACTTCTACTACGACTAGTACTACTACTACTACTACTACTACTACTACTACTTATAAATATAATAATAATAATACTAATGATAACAATAATAAGAAGAAGAAGAAAAAGAAAAAGAAGAAGAAGAAGAAGAAGAAGAAGAAGAAGAAGAAGAAGAAGAAGAAGAAGAATGAACAATTAGAATTCGTAATTCCTATAATAATTGAGAGCGCTGTCGAAATATGGTATAATTGTGTATAAGTTATAATGAAACATAATAATACAAAATGTACATCAGTAGCAGCAGAAGTAGTAACAGCAGCAACATAGGCACAATAATCTGTTTCGCTGAATTTGTTTTTCTCGTAAGAATCAGATATGATTTTGTTTTAAACCGTGTTTCGGAAGATTTCTTTTTTTAAATGAATAAATAAATATGTATTTTGTATGTTTAAATGGGATATAATAATATATGCATAAAAACATAAAAACATAAAATTGCCACTCGTCGTTTTCCCTATACTTTCGAAATCCTGCTAGCGTTAACAAGTAGACCCCAGCGTACGTGTATATACCATGCAATGCACGAACTAGAAACCAGCGAGATTTGGGCAACGTTCCCGGTTTTGAGTTTTGAGGGGGGAAAGTTTATTTAAAAAATCCGACCGACGACCCACGTTCTGGCACCTAAAAGACAATACAACATCTTTTGGTTTAGGCCTAATAGTGGTAGGGCCCACCAGCCGTAGAACTGACTGATGTGAAAATGATTAGAATAAGTAGGAATTTTACTTCATGGTGCCACTGCAACCCAAGTTGAGAAAATACAGCGAATTCAAACGCTGCCAGCAGACTTACATAATGTTTACCCAAGTTCTGTCACATGGAACCTATTCTTCGTCGAATTAGCTACCCAGTAGGTCCCGGATTCACTACAAAAACTTAATCACCTTCAAATGAACCAATGGTCCCGCTCCTCCTTATATCTGAAATTATAACTACCAGGCAACCATCCGGGTACTCACTCCGCTCCTCTCAAGATTCCCAGTTCCAAGATTTTTTCCACACAACTACTGCTCCCAAACTGTGAAAAAACCTACTTAGATTTCTTCGCATTTACCAGCAATCTCTCAATACATTCAAGATATGGCTTAAAACTCGCCTCTTCTGTTAAAATTGTTTTAAAACGTATTTATATATGGGAGATGCGCTATATAAAAACGTAGTTGTTATTATTTTTGTTGCAGTAGTAGTAGTAGAAATAGTAGTACTAGTGCAGTAGTAGTAGTAGTAGTAGTAGTAGTAGTAGCAGTGGTAGTAGTAATAGTAATAGTAGTAGAAGCATCAGCAGTAGTATAGTAGTAGACGTAGTAGAAGTAATAATAGTAGTAGTAGTAGTAGTAGTAGTAGTAGTAGTAGTAGTATTACTAAGATTATAATAATCATTATCATTATTATCATTGTAATTGTTATTATTATTATTAATATCATTAATTATTATTGTTATTATTATTGTTTTTGTTGTTTTTATTATTATTATTATTATTATTATTATTATTATTATTATTATTATTATTATTATTGTTTTTGTTGTTTTATTATTATTTTATTATTATTATTATTATTATTATTATTATTATTATTATTATTATTATTATTATTATTATTATTATTATTATTATTATTATTGTAATTATTATTGTAATTATTATTATTGTTGTTATCATTATTATCATTATTTAATTATTCATTGTATGTAGATTTAAGTTTGGCCTGTAACGACATGACTTCCTCTTTTTCACCACGTGCCTCTTTAAGTGATTATAGGTGCAGTATAGGCCTACTTGAAAGAATACAATGATACATTATATGCGTCAAGGGTATAGAGGGAGTTGCAGATGTACATTGTACCTGTATTCCTAAACAATGGAATTCCTATGGTTCAGCAGCTATAGTTGCAGTGTCTCGTCTTCGCTTTTTTCTACAGATTGTGGCGAAAATCCCTGTCAAAACGGCTGGTGTGAAGAGACTATGAAAAACTTCAAATGCCACTGCTCTGCCGGATATCGAGGGAAACGTTGCCATAAAGGTAAGAATAAAAAAAGCCGCAATAATTATCTGACAAGTCGGTTAAACGATTTATAAACCATCTTTACAACTTAATTTTGCTAGTAGCGTGAATTCGAGCAAAATGATCAACTTTGTCAAAGGAAAGATAGCATGACTGTACATCATAATCAACCGATTACCAGACCCCCTTCTTGCTGTCTCTCTGCCTCCACCCATTTCCCCCTCTCCCCCCCCCTTTGCCCTCTATACTTAATGACTGTCTCTCTCTCTCTCTCTCTCTCTCTGCCTTTCTCTTTTTCTCTTGATTTTTGCTTTTGTTAACTCTCTTTCCCTATTTCCCTTCTCTATCTCTCTCTCTCTCTCTCTCCTTCTGTTTTTCTATTTTAATCTCAATCTCTCTCTCTCATCTTTTCTCTCTCCCTCTCTCTGTAACTTATCCTCTTTCCTTCTTCTTCTCTCTCTCTCTCTGTCTCTCTCTCTCTCTCTCTACTATCTCTATCTCTTTCTTTCGTACTCTCTCACAATGCTCACCCTTTTCGTTTACAAGTTTCTCGATTGTTTTCATTCACCCTTACTTGCTCTCTCTCTCTCTCTTTCTCTCTCTCTCTTTTACTCTTTCTGCATTTCTTTCTCTCTCGGTTTCTATTGTATATGTTATTTCACTTCCATTCTCTCTCTCCTTCTCTCCGTGCCTCTCCCTTTCGCTTTCACTTCTTGTGCTCGGCAGCCGATCAGGAGTCAAAAGCTAGGAATTGAATATCATGTGATGATTCGACTAGTACAATTTTAGTAAATTTGAATTTAAATGTATTTGCCTCCCCCCGGTTGTACCATCAGAGCCCCGTCTTACAAAGAGTTAGGATTGATCCAAATCAATCGCAAGTCCTCCAATCAATCGCAAGTTTGCAGTCTCCTATATCTTATGTACATACTTGCGATTAATATCAACTCTTTGTAATACGGGGCCCAGGTGTATATATCATATTTCTTCTTCAGAATCAACTTCTACCCAAGACACCACAACGATGTCAACGACGGAATCCGCCACCTGTCGTCCTCCCACGACTACTCGTAAGAAATTTTCATTTACTCCATCTCTCCCTCTCTTACTCTCGTTCTCTCTCTCTTTTTTCTTTAATATCCGCATTTTATTTCTCTTTCGATTTCTAATTTATATGTTATCTCATGTCCCTTTTCTCTCTCCGATTTTCTCTCTCCGTCTCTCCATCCATCTCTATTTCCCTTTCATTTTCACCTGTTTACAATATGCTACAACGTGAAGCAACATCTTGTGCTCGGCAGCCGCTGACGCGTCAAAAGCTATATAGGAATAAAATATCATGTGACGATTTGTCCTGTAAGATTTGTTGAATTTGGTTATATATATTGATTTGAATTTATTTTGCTCCAGGTTGTATCATCAGCTGTATATATCATATTTCTTCTTCAGAATCAACTATTACACAAGACACCACAACGATGCCTACTACGGAAGCCACCACCTCCCATCCTACAACTACTATTCGTAAGAAAACTTCATTTACACTAACTTCATTAATTATCATGTGATGATGATCTTTCGAATAAGATCTGAGTATGAATTTAAATGTATTGTGCCCGCATGTATATCATCAGGTGTATATATCATATTTCTTCTTCAGAATCAACTACAGCACAAGAGACCACAACGATGCCTACTACGGAAGCCACCACCTCCCATCCTACAACTACTATCCGTAAGAAAACTTCATTTACACTATCTCTCTCTCTCTCCCTCCCCCCCCTCCTCTCTCCCTCTCTCCCCCCCCCCCCTCTCTCTCTCTCTGTCTCTCTCTCCCCATCTCTCCCTTGTTCTCTTTCGCTCTCTTTCTCTCTCTCTCTCTCTCTATCTCATTTTCACTCTATCTCCACCTTTTCTTTTGCCGCCTTTCCTTTCTCCGCCTTTTCTATCTCCGCCTGTTCTTTCTCCGCCTTTTCTTTTTCTCTCGATTTCTATGTTACATGATTTCTCACTTCCTTTTCTCTCTCCAATTTTCTCTCACCGTCTCTCCATGCCTCTCTTTTTCGCTTTGACTTTCACGTGAAGCAACTTCTTGTTTTCGACATTGAATAAAGTGAATAAAGTGAATAAAGTGAATAAAGTGAACTTGAAGTTGAACATCCTCAGGCGTCAAACGCTAGAAAATAAATATCATGTGATGATTTGTCCGGTAAGATTTGTTAAATTTGGGTCAATATGAATTTAAAATTCATTTTGCCCCAGATTGTATCATCAGGTGTTTATATCATATTTCTTCTTCAGAATCAACTACAACACAAGACACCTCAACGATGTCCATCACGGAAGCCACCACCTCACACCCTACCACAACGACTCGTAAGAAAACTTCTTTTACACTATCTCTTTCTCTCTCTCCCTCTCTTTTACTTTTTTGTTTTAAATTTATATTACTGATATTGTGAGTTCATCCGATTTGTTACATTTTATATTATATTATTTGCAGACGATACCAGCGTGTTTATGTCTCATAATAATCTCCCTTCACTAGTTGATTCATTCAATTCTGATTTAAATGAATTAAGTGAATGGTTAATAAACAATAAATTAGTTTTTAAAGTTACTTAACCACAATATATTTTATTTTAAATGACGTATTGAAGATAATTTTGCAATCACTTTTAATGGTTATCAAATTAATCGTACTTCTTGTGTGAAATTTTTAGGTGTTCATATCGATGAATCTTTAACATGGCATGAACAAGATGGTGTCGTATGCAATCGTGTTGCCAAATCTTTTGGTATTATTTACCGTTTGAGACATTTTCCAAGACATATTTTAGTTGTCAATTAGTTAGTTGTCTCCCATGTCAATTATTGTAATATTGTCTTGTCAAACAGTAATGATTACTTTATTACTCAACTATTTGTTTTGCAGAAAAAAAGCCATAATAATAATTTCTAATTCAGCATATAATGCTCATACCTTGCCAATCTTCTCAAAGTTAAATTTCCTAAACGTTTATGACATAAATAGATTGAATATTGCAATATTTATGTTTATGTGTTCTAGAGGGTTATTACCATCTCCAATTTCATCAAAATTTGTTTTAAATTGTAACATACATAATTATAGTACACGTAATGCTGTAGATTACCATCTATCAAAAGACAGAACTAATATTTCAAAGAATACTATTTTTTACAAAGGTCTTCATCTATGGAGCACTATATTCTAAACCATTTAACGAATCAACCTTCCGAAAATAATTGTAAACGTTCATTTCGATTTTTTAAAATTGAATTTGTACTCAGCAACTTGAATATCACATTTGATGTTATGACGTCTCTCTCTCTCTCTCCCCCCCCCCCTCTTTCATTCTCTCTAACCATGCTCACTCTTTTCATTTACCATTATAATTTTTTTATTCGTCCTCACGTGTTGTATTGTTTCTATCTTTCTCTCTCTCTCTATCTCTTTCTTTCTCGAGTTCTATTGAATGTTATCTCACTTCCCTTCTACCTCTATAATTGTTTTATCCCCATACCTTCATGTCTCTCTCTCTCAATTTTACTTTCACTTTAACATATACATAGATTGTGCTGCAACGTAAAGCAACTTCTGGTTCTCGGCAGCCGTTTAGGTGTGTCTTTCCAGTGAGATCTGCATGAGTAAATATGAATTTAAATGTATTGTTCCCCCAGTTATATCATATTTCTTTTTACAGAATCAACTACTACACAAGAGACCACAACAATGTCTCCGTTTGAATCCACCACCTCACACCCTACCGCAACGACTCGTAAGAAAACTTAATTTACATCACCTCTCTTTCTCTTTCTCTCTCTCTCTGTCTCTCTATCTCTCTCCCTCTATCTATCTCTCCCTGTCTCTTTCTCTCTCTCTTTCTCTCTCTCTCTCTCTGTCTCCCCCTCTCTCTCTCTCTCCTCCTCCTCCTCCTCCTCCTCCTCCTCCTCCTCCCCCCCTCTCTCTCTAATAACCATGCTCACCCTTTCCGTTTAATCAATTTTGTTAATTCAACCTCACTTACTCTCTGTCTGTCTGTCTCTCTCTCTCTTTCTCTGCATTTTCTTTCTCTTTCGATTTCTATTTTTATGTTATCTCACTTACCTTTATCTCTCTCTATCTCCTTCTCTGTCTGTCTGTCTCTCTTTCTTTCTCTCTCTCTCTGTCTGTCTGTCTCTCTGTCTCTCTCCCTTTCACTCTCTCTCTCTCTCTCACTTTCTTTCTTTCTCTCTCAATCTATCTATCTTTCAATTAAATTTGGTTGTAAATGAAGTAAAACATATTTTACCCCCATCTTATCATCTTTTATTATCCAGAATCAACTACTACACAAGACACCGAGACCATGTCTACGACGGACTCAACCACATCACGTACCACAACATCTATTCGTAAGAAAACTTCAGTATCACCCGCCCCCCCCTCTCTCTCTCTCTCTCTCTCTCTCTCTATATATATATACATATATCTCTCTCTTTCCCTCTCTCTCAATATCTATATTTCACAAGTATTGAATGTATTTCTATTTTCCTTACATTCATTTTTTTCTTCTTTCGTCGCTTCCTTTGAAAAAGGCTATTATATTCTGTTATTTCAAGCTTTCTGTAGGTGCTACTGCCAGGCGCGGATCCACGGGCCTAATTCTTCCGGCCCGGCTATGGCAAGCCCTTTGTGTAAAAACTAGATAAACTCTGTTTTTCTCAGATAAACTCAGTTTATCAACAGATAAACACAGTTTATCAGAAAAACTCAGTTTATCAGTTAATAAACCCAGTTTATCAAGAAAAACTCAGTTTATCAATGATAAACTCAGTTTATCAGAAAAACTCAGTTCATCAGTTGATAAACTGAGTTTATCATTGATAAACACAGTTTTTCTGATAAACTGAGTTTATCTAGTTTTTACACAAAGGGGTTGCCATAGCCGGGCCGGAAGAATTAGGCCCGTGGATCCGCGCCTGGCTACTGCTTCTGTTGTTGTTGTTTATTGTTTGCTTCGTTTTCAGAATATTTTTGCGCTTTATTACCTGACTGAATAGGCTTTCTTCATTTAACAAAATCGATTTCATGTAAGTCTTTTTGATATGTTCTCCACAAATCCAACGACATGTACAACTCTCCTGTTTTAGTTTTCTGGTAATGGCATGATTCTAAACTATACTTTCGGATTACAGGTGTGCAGATATTTATTCGAAAGTTCTGTCAAATTACACTTTTAAAGTTTTTATTTCCATACGGCCATCTATGCCAAAAGAAATTGTACCAGGAAAAAATATTTCATTCGTTAAATTCGCATGGTCAGAATGTTCGATAATCATAACCCTTGGAAGTCATAGTCATAAAATTTATATCTATTTGACGCGAATGAAAACCAAGCATATGAGGAGAAAAAAGGGATTATTCCGTATAAAAGTATATTCTATAATAATAATAATACGCTAAGGCTCCGCGGGGGGCGCGACGTCTCCGCGAGCCTTTGTATTCTATTGTTTTTTAATGAGATCGCCGACCGAAGTTGGTGCGGCTATCCTGAACCCTCCCCTCTGGGTACCGGTGCCCGGTGCCATCGTCCGCGGGAGAGTCTACTCTGTGGAATTGGCTATACTCCGCCCGAGGTCCTCCTCCGTGTCGACGTCCAGGGCGAAAACAGACGCGATATGCATAATGCAGGATATGCGTGACGACAGAGATACCTCATGCATATTCAACATTACATCCTTATCAAAGAGACACACGACAGATGACGAGCAACTCACATTATGTTGCGTATGAAATGCTCTATGCAAAGGGCGGGATTACCCCCCGAGTAAGCCCTCTTGCTATAAGGTGTGCTTTGTACGAGCTGCACAAGCCAGAGAGATACACGGGGCTAATTCCCGTCGACGTCCAAACTTAGAGACCTATTTCCATCATGATTGCCGCGATTTTTATATAGTTTTCGTGAATGGAGGTATGAAATCAAAGCTTATTTTGTGATATTACTACGGCCATGTATACTGAATTTTGATTATCATTTTCTAAAGGAAAGTTTTCACAAGAAAACCATTGGACTGACAGTTCAGTCGCAAGCTGCCTTCAGTCAACACACATACATTACACACAGTGCAGCGTAACTCCGGGAAGCTCCAACACCGGCACCGCGCACCGCAAGCGTCCGACGCCTGCGGCGCCGGTGTTCGAGCTTCCTGGAGTTACGCTGTGTGTGAGTTCAGCTGAGCTGAGCTCGAGTCGAAGAGATTTGACACTTTGAAATTGTTATCTGTTGGTTTGCATGAATTTTGCCGCGATTTCAATATAGTTTCGTGAATAGATTTACGAAACCTGAGCTTAGAATTAGTAAAAGTATTACTAATGTCTACGTTTTTAAACGACTGTCTGATTTTCTTGTGAAAATTTTACTTTGAAAAATGATCATCAAAATTCATGGTCAGAAATAATCACAATCTAGGGTCTATTATGTTACAGTTCTTGCATCAAATCAATGCATGAAAACTTAGTTATTGAACTAGAAAATTAATGTTTTTTTTTTTTTTTTAAATAGGCAATTATGAAGTAGGAAGCCTAAAACCTTAGCCTACTAAACAAATCTCAACAAAGTGTAGGCCTATCCTTTTATGAATTAATGAAAAAGTAGCCCCAGAAAAAAGAGCCCCAGAAAATTTCCCTAAAATTTGAAATGGAGCCCCCGAAATGAAAAACTTAATTTTTTGCCTGCGCCCCCTCTAGAATCCCGCGGATTTCCGCGGGTCCTGAGTTGAGTGTATATATAATATAGGCGTGGGGTCCACGGGTTTCAAGGGGCCATAAACCCCCAAAAGCTCGGGGGTTACGTTCTTCAAAGTTGGGAGGGGGGGAGATCAGATCGCAGCGAGTTGAGTGTATATATAATATAGGCGTGGGGTCCACGGGTTTCAAGGGGCCATAAACCCCCGAAAGCTCGGGGGTTTTAGGCGTTTAATTAGGGTCAGATGAGCATGTTTTTAATACTTTATTTGTGACACTTGCGGGTCATTAATTGGCGTGGGGTCAATACGTAGAGTTGCGTAGTGTTGCGTACCAACTACGCTGGCCTACGTTACTATATGGTGAGGGACGGAAAGGGGTACGCAAGATGAACGAAAACAATTCAACCCGTTTAATTTTTTCGCCAGCTTACGCATAACCTAAGCAGGGACTATTTTCCCATTAATACGCAGCCTAATTTCTGCGTAGTCGGTACGCCACACTACGGAACTCTACGCAGTTCCAGTGGCTTAAAGAATAACTACCGGAACAGTTGGATCGTTTTTTTAATTTTTATATAAGGCCAAATAAAAAAAAAAAACATGTTTAGCGTCCTGTTTTTTTTCGAAAAATGGGAAGGAGGAGGCCTTTTTTTTTTCTTTTTTTTTCTTTCAAAATGGCCGCTCCGTACATTTTCCCTGACATTCGGGCTATTTTTCAAGATGGCGGCCGACAATTTTTTTTTTCTTTTTTAAAATCAGAAATACATTTTAGCAGTGCTTTTCATGTTTTTTTTCTTTCAAAAAATCAAAAAAATTCAACAACAAAAAAAAATCTCAAAAAATAAATAAATAGGAGGCGGCCCCCAAAAAGGAAAGCGGGCGGGGACGCTAAACATTTTTTTTTAATGGCCTGAATGGCAAATAAAGTTCTTGGTGGTTTTAATTTAGACACTCTCTATATATCTATTTACACCCCCCGCCCCCCTCTAGAATCCCGCGGATTTCCGCGGGTCCTGCTAGTATAAACATATTATAATTACTCACCTCATAAGATGCATAACACAAATCCACGAAGTTTACGAACGTCTAAAATCTGTCTATACGTGTAGTATAGATAATCATTCGATCCGCATCTCTCCTGGAAACACAAAGTCATTTAATAAAAATAATGTATTATGGCCTGAAATGTGATTTGACCTGATTTGACCCAATAATTGCGATACAGTGGTTATTTCTGTGAAGAGAGAGAAGTGTAACCTTTTTTAAAAAACAGCCATGCGCATAATTTTGCCTCTATAATTAACATATCTTAGCATTATATTAATTGGTAATTGGTAATATTTTCTGAGTAATTATGTTGCCCTATCATCAGAAACCAAAAATCAAACATAGATACAAACTTTACAAAAATATATGCCGCCATTGCGATCATAAATTTTGTTCGGAATTTCCTGTAAAGTCCGTTATGGCATTCCCGCTATATGAAAATTTGTTCAAAGTTCTCATATAGTTTGCTTCGTGTAACTACCCCCGGGGACTAGCTGTGGTATAATAATATTCAGCTAAGCATAAGATTTTTTTTTTGCAGTTTAATAAATGGCATTTGTAGTGTCCGTAAGTGTCCGTAACACAAATGTGTGATCGTGTACAAATACAGCTTGATAACTAAATACTACTAATTTGTGATTTAAATTTGATTTGATACAGTTGCTCTTCTCAATGAATTAAACAAATTCTGTTTCCATTTAAAAGATTTTAAAAAAAATTGACTTACGAGTAGTTCAATATTTTGTTTTATTTACCCAGGGTAACCCCATCAGTGAGTAAGACACTGTTATACTCGGGGGCCCTGCAATAGTACAACACAAATTACAAACATGTAAATGAATACAAAACAACGAATATTACAAAGACATCAGACCTGCACGAAATATTAAACTTTTAAGAAAAAAAGAAGAAGAAAAATTAAACTATAAGGCTCCCACAATGCCTCCGCTTGCCGGAACCAACTGGACAGCAAGGTCCGAAATATTTAATTTCAACAATATTACTTATATGCAATAAATTATAAAATTAAATGCATCATTGTGTTTTAGTTTCAATATCGAGGGTAGAAAAGAATAGGAGCCAGTGTTACGGACACTACAGATCTGTGTTACGGACACTACAGAAAGAGTAATATCATGGCCTGGAAGCCAAACTATACCTCCTTTTCTGGATAACAGTGTTCTAAAATAAATTTTAACAATGTAAAAGCTGTCTATAACATCAAGTATGTATGTTACATGGGATAATACATGTTTTTAATAATTAATTTGCCTACCTACAAAATGTATAAGTCACTACATTGTAATTTATATCCACACACACATAAACACTTGTGTGCACACCAGTACGTGTATGACTGGTGTCTCCTGAGGATTATGGAAAAATACCTTCTTTTGAGGACACCCCCTTTGAGGGGATTTACATATAAATTATGAAATAAAATCTCATCGTCTACGTTTGTGCTCAAAATTTCTCTCGATAAATTAAACTTCCTATTTGATGGAGAGAGAGAGAAAAAGACTGCGGTCGCTTTTGACTTATTTACTGACATGTTTATATTATATCTGAGGATTTTATGAATACTGGTTTAATTGCTACCACCAATTGATTTTTATTGATATTATAGGATTATTGATTAAACGTATCAGAAATGATTATTGATTATACCATAATTTTGCATATCAATTGTCACTTCTTTTTTAAAATGCTTTGTTCCTGCTTTTCGGCATACACTGTCTCATGTTTTACAAGTATACCCCTTAGGTGGTTGAAATACTCTTTATAAAGTACAGACTGAGGCCTTTTTATGAACCCAAATTTTCCGACGCGATTTTAATGAGTTCCTAAAAATGGGTTCTAAAAATACTGAATATATCCTGCAGCACATACGATACGAGGACAACAGATGCAGTGCAATCTTCTCCAAACTCACATTGAATCCTGTACCACATAATATACAAGGACACCATGGGTACTTTCTTTTGTTTTTCGGTCTCACTGAGCAAATCTCGTAAGATCCTATGAGATACATTTATCTTTTCAGAGTTACTTCTCAAAACAATGAAGTACATCATCTTTTCGTATTTTCAAATATCAAGGGTCTCCATGCTTATGTCTAATAAGATACATTTTCTGTTTATTCTCTTCTTCCTTCTTTCCTCATGCTTTCCTTCGTTATATCATTATTTTAAATGTATTCTTTCATCTTCCTTAATTGTCTAAATAGTAATGCTTCTGTCATGTTCTTATGACTAAATTAGGCTTCTTTCAATGTTTAAAAGTGAAGAAGATGGAGAAGAAGGAAAAATACCCCAATTGGGCCACTCTAGAACTACATACACAGTAAAAACGCTGCTTAAAAAAGTGATGTTCACTTACAGTTGTACACTATCTTAAACAACAGTTGAACAAATTGTAAACAATGTTGCTCGAAACGAAAGTAATTTTGTTAAACATTCGTTGTTTAAAATTTAATGACTGCTATATTTACTATACGAGAGCTTTTAGACAGTGTTGTTTACATAGTCATGTGTCTCGTGCCAGTAAAGTGCGCGCTGGCTAAAAGCTTTATTTCACATTGTTATGTTTAGAAACAGGTTCCTTGAAACTAACATGCAATTTAAATTAACATGCCACTTAGAAATGCAGTGCAGCTGTTCAGGCACAGCTCATTGTTATTCATATTAGATGCATACACACAATGCAAGTATATGCAAGGGTCTTCTGTTGACTACACAGATTGATACATATGTAAAAGCACATGGACATTGAGTCTGGATTAAACTACCAAAGCAACCACACGTGTTTCTGCAGGCTCCATTTTGTTTGTCTCTATACTTACATTTATTTAGCTTAATAGTTTTTACTTTCCAACCCACAACACAACACACATCATGGCCGACCAATTAAGCTACCGACGCGCTTCTAAGTGACTGGGGATTCAATGGCTTAATTGAAAGCACTTTTCTATTAACCAATTTGAAGTTTTTAACTTATAGCGTAAGTTCACAGTTACAATTTTCAGTATCTGTACGCAAATGTCAGAATATAGGTAGACTTAAAATCGTCGCGTCATGCAGTGCGGCACTGATCGCGCACTCGGTTATTGTGCTAAATTCCTTGCCATAGAGATTGCATGCATCCCTATATATGCAGTTTATACGTGCGTGCATGCGCGCTCATGCAAAATGGGCACTGTTTTGGCGCTAATTCATGAATTGCAGAATTACCCTACCATATTGTTAGTCTTCATATAGAGACCCAGAAGTAGTGGTGCACTTATTCAGAGTATCAAACCCAAATTATACCCCATTATACAACCCTTTTGTTGTAAACAACCCCCACTGAACAAGAGCTCCTTTTTAAACAACTTTCTTTAAACAACCCAGTTGGTGTAAACAACCCCCACTGAACAACAGCTCCTTTTTAAACAACTTTCTTTAAACAACCCAGTTGGTGTAAACAATCCCCACTGAACAACAGCTCCTTTTTAAACAACTTTCTTTAAACAACCCAGTTGGTGTAAACAACCCCCACTGAACAACAGCTCCTTTTTAAACAACTTTCTTTAAACAACCCAGTTGGTGTAAACAACTCCCACTGAACAACAGCTCCTTTTTAAACAATTTTCTTTAAACAACCCAGTTGGTGTAAACAATCCCCACTGAACAACAGCTCCTTTTTAAACAACTTTCTTTAAACAACCCAGTTGGTGTAAACAACCCCCACTGAACAACAGCTCCTTTTTAAACAACCGTCTTTAAACAACACCAGTTGTTTAAATTGTGATTTTAAACAAGTTGTTCAAATTGTGATTTTAAACAAGTTGTTCAAAATGTTGATCAACTAAGTGTTTAAACTTTTAACAACTCGAGATGCTTAACATTTTAAACAACTCTCAGATCAGGTCACCCGTTAATCAAGAGTTGTTTAAAATTGTAAACAACTTGTTCACAAAAATTTTAACTGTGTAGAACAATAAACAGTTAGGCTTGCGGATGCACCACGTGAGAGAGAGAGAGAGAGAGAGAGGATTGAGGATTGAGGAGTCCTGAAAAGGACTCTCGGTGATCTCGAGGGTGTGTGTACATAGAACAACTTATGTTTTCTGTTCTGTCAGATTTTCTGCTTCTATTGAAAGGTAGGACTTCCCTTTAAGTCCTATCCAAGAGACGTGGTAATGAGGATTGAAAAGATACTCTTTGTTGGCCTCAAGATATGCAGCAACAACAGTGTTGGCAGAAAAAAAGCAAATGAATGACTTATTTTGCATGCATAATATGTATAACATGTAGTGTCCGTAACATCCTATAGGATTTTGTACATATTTATTAAGTTATTTTTGAAAACTTATGATATGAAACGAGCCTTCCTAGGATTTTTAGTTGTTTTATATGTATACAGAGGGGACTAAAGTTTGTAATTTGTCCCATGTACCAATGTTTGTTTGGCTTTTAAAAAAGTTTCAGGTTTTGACAAAATGGCATTTATCAGATTTGACCTTGTGTTATCTCTGATGTGTATACTGCATCTAACTTATGGACTGGAGTGAGTGAGAATTGTTTTATTTTTCACAAATGGCCAAGAAATTCCCCAAAGAAGTGCAAAATATTTGTGTATTAAGGTAAATATTGCTTGAAAATTCCACTTCAGTAGCTTTGTGTAGTGTCCGTAACACCTACCACCCCCCCCCCCCCCGTTGTGTTGCTGTTCATAAAATGATAACCAAGATAGTTTCCTCCAGGATATTGCAGGGTATTAACCCTAGGATATGGATGAACAATTTGGGGTTGATGAAACTGCTCTATTGCAAACGTCATTTTTGGACCCAAGTGCAAATGGTTTTGCACCCTCATTGTGGCTATACAGAATGGATATGGTTGTCCATAAATTGAGACAAGTTTTTGTCGTTCTGATCATACCTACACTTTAAAATTATTATTTTATATTACATAATCAACTGTAACATACAGTTCTTTCGCAATTTGTAATCAGATGAACAGCCCTAAATTTTGCTCTTCAGTATCAGTGTCATAGTTCTGTTTCACCTTTTTAATATACGTACAAGGGAAAACTTGGTGGAATAAAGTTATCTTCTTTCTCCCATATATTTCAGAATCGACTGCAAAGATCTTCGTGACAGATAAAGATGTGAACAAGATTTATGTTGCAGATCTTCAAGAAAACCTAAACTTCACTGACATTCCATCCACTAAAGAACCCCGTTATATTACCTATGACTCCGTGGAGAAGAAGATCTACTGGACTGACAGGGAGACAAAACAAGTTTATCGTGCTGATGCGGATGGTGGAGACAGGGAGAATGTCACTTCTGGAAGCAGTGATGGTATGATGTATTCACGTAGTCGTATAAACATGAATCTTGATAAATAGGATCGTTGACACTCTAATCAATATTTTTGAGGAATGATGTGTAACAGAGTCTGATCTCGTTTTACAATCCAAACACAATTGTGGTTTTGTGGCTAAGTCATTCTTATTTCATAGCTGGAGCCTATACGCTGACAGATTTTCCGTATTGGAAATGTAAGGCTGTACAGATTTTGTACAAAAACTAAGTATATGCATATGTTCATATTCCATGGGATACCATCAAGTTGACGGTTGTTGACGTCTTCACTGAATAGAACTTAGAAAATGATATTATTTAAAGACCTCCTTGCTATTATGGGGTAAATATTGTTCTCCTGATTTTTACTAATTCATTTCATTATTTCATTTTTTAAGAGGTCCCGCCTCCCTTGTTCCGAGAAAGTTCTTTATTTGTTAAATTAAATTGCAGTACTACGAGGAATTGCTATAGCCGAGAAATCTCGCACTCTCTACATCGCGAATAAAGGTACGAAGAAAATAACATCGGTATCGATTGCACAAGGACACTCGTTTCCTAGGGTCGTGATGAACTTTGCATCCGGGTTATCTGAAGAGCTATATTCCTTAGAAGTGGATGAAGAGGAAGGGTGAGTCTATCATGGTGTATCCAGGATATACCATGTCCATTTTTCTTCATACCGGAAGAATAATTGAGGTGCTTTATGTCACATGATTTGATTTATTTGAATATATGGAGGTATTAGCTATTGTGAGCAGAGGCAATTATTGGATGTCATGAGACAAGAAGTTAGAAGGCTGAATCAAGGTTCTGTGAAAGCCCAGAAGCACTGAATCAAGAGGCAACATTTAACATTTAAAGGGATTTAAGATCGAAGAAGCACATGCATATGGCCTGATCCAATCTCATTCCATCAACTCAAGATTGGTACAAGGCGATTTTGACAAGACCTTTCCAGGACTCCGGTGCTCAGTCACCCGTGACAGAAATATTATGAATAGGGTGTCGTTGGACGAAAAAACAAATTACTCTTGATCATGAAATAGATTTCAAAGTAATATTGGTTATGACTTTGTAATCAGGAGCTACCAAAGTTGGGCACACCTTTTTTCTTTAAAAAAATCAAGTCATAAAAACGATAATGAATTCAACATAATATATAGATGTTTATAAAAAAATCCGTACGTAATGGTATTGTTCTTTTCCGTGAGGTTTTTGTAGGAGCCCCTTTTCCAAAAATGTGCCCTTTTTGGCGACCCCCCCCCCCTTTTCGCTTTGAAAAACATGTTAATATCAGATTATGTTCAAGTTGATATTAAATGACAGGACACACTTGATTTTTCAGATTCTTGTATTGGTCAATGAAATACAATATCCAGCGCAAATCTCTTAATGGATCTGGAAGCACGGAGACTATATACAGTAACGACCTTCTATCCAAAATCACCGGATTGAGCATTGATCTCAGCCGTACGTATTTCATATTTAGAAGGGTTTAGTAAAATGATATGTCATTTCAGATAAATGAATGGAAATTTAACAAGTTTATCTACATGGCTCCTCTCCACCCATACGTTAATGGGTACCTAGTATGTTGCGAACGTCATTGTGGTTGGATTAGCATGTCGGCGACTTACTATAACGCCCTCATGGAGTGGAGAATGTGTACTGCATTGTGCAGAATGGTGATATAGTTCAATAACAGGGATAATAGTAATACTTTTATCGCTTTGGTTAATTGATGGTAAAGAGCTTTAAAAATAAATAGGAATTTCTTTATTTGTGTTGTATTCGCTGAATTATCATGAACTTCTTCGAAATATCATTTCGGGAGCAAACATTGTAACGATTCTCAAATAAAGGCATTTTTGAAACCTAGACAAAGAGATGAATTTGATGAGAGAATGAAGATGATAAATGAAGAAACCAAAAGTTGTTTTAATGGGGAAGGCATCAACTCTTTATAATTCTGAACACAATGCATTGGTATGGTTATAAAGGACCTTAATTTAAACATCATTAAAATGAATAGACGCAAAATATATAATACAATACAATGATGATGATGTGAGCGCCCAGGTCCGAAATGATAATAGTGGTGTATACTTGTATGGTGCTCATTAATGTCACACTTGGCACCCGCCCCCCCCCCCCCCCCCCCCCACTCAGAGGTCGGAATGACCGCATGCGTGTTGCCAAAATGTCCGGTAAAGGGGTACTTTTCGTGCGACAAAGTCCGGCCCGAGATTTGTAAAAAAAAGGGGTGTATTTGACTTTTCACCCGGAGATTTCTTTAAAAAGGGGTGTTTTTCTTTTTTTCTCTCATCTCTTTGGAATCCTGAGAAATTATTCCGAATTTAGGGGGGGAAATTGAGCATTTTTCCTGATTTAGGGGGGTCTCCAAGGCAGGAAAAGCCCGCAAAAAGCCCGCGAAAGGGGGGTTCGGAAATGTTGGCAGTCCTCAGATAGGGGGTGCTTTCAAAAAGAGGGTACGAGCATATGCGTACCCTAAATAACACTGAGTGGGGGGGGGGGGGGCGGGACTTGGCACTCTTGACGTTTGACCCCGGCACTGACTCCGCCGTCATTATTTCTTATTTCGAAGGGTCTTTTCAGATGAATGGAAAGATTCTTCATAAAGGTCTTTGAAATGCAAAATCTTGGATTTATCATGACAAGATAATTATGCTGCATTCGTATTACACACATTCAATATCTTTAAGTTGTATGTTATCTTGTATTGTCTTGTCAGAATTCGATTTGTAATCGATATGATTGTAGTGTGTGTTTTGTTATTGCATTTTTATTAAATTAAAGATTAAGATTATTCAGTAAGATTTGCTAATTTTCTTTGTTTTGTCAGGGAATCCCCGACGGATATTTTTCTGTGACTTTGATAAGGAACGATCTTTCTACAAGGACGTAAACCAATCTCTCACAACGGCGCACGATCTCACAGCCTACATGGTTGACCCTGACATCAGTAAACTGCGAGATATAAGCTACTTCAACGGCACCCTCTACTGGACGAAGGGAGACAATCCCAATGGCATCGCTGTAATGACTGATTACGATCAAAGCAGTCGATCATTCGACATCAAAGAAAACCTTGGGTTTCAGAAACCCTATCAATTGCTCATCATTAATCCATGATCAATATTTGACAGAAAAAAGCCCGGTTGTCTTTTGTTTATTTGATTCAGCGTAGTGGGGGGGGGGGGGGGGGGGGGGGGGGGTAAGCGGACATTTTTTTTTTTTTTGTCCCCCAAAAATGGCAACGACTCAACCGACCGCTGAATAAGCGGTGGGGGGGGGGGGGGGGGGGGGGGGGGGGGATGGTAAGAGGACACTTTTTTTTTTTTGGGGGGGGGGGGGTCTCGAAATTTGAAAATTGATATTTTGCTCCGTTGGGGGGGGGGGGGTAAGGTCACCTTTCTTAGGTCAGCCATGGGGGGTACTTTTTTTTTTCTTTTTTTTTTTTTTAATAATTTTTTTTTTTAAATCCAAAGGGGGGGGGGGGTTTTAGGGATTTTATAGGGGGGTTTACACACACAAAAATACCAAAGGGGGGGGGGGTTTAACCCCCGAAACACCCCCCCCCCTGCGTACGCGCCTGGTTAGTATTAAACAGGTTTGTATGTATGGTGTAAACTCCTTAAAGTGAAAGGTTATCATCATGCTTGTTCGAATACTATAGTTATCAAACTTTTCATACTCATAACTAAGATTTTTATATCTTGGCCGAAATAAACAGGAAACATTATTATAGTCCCATGTCATAATGCACGGAATTTGAATACAGTCTCGTTAATTTGAGAATGCAGAAGTGTAACTTGAATTATCAAGTTATTTACCTAGGTAAACAGATTAGAGACACTTATCAATTGTTTGGTAATCATAAACAATACTTGTACATAATATTTCAGTATACTGATAACTTATTTTTTTCAAATGTGTTGTTTATGTGTGTATTTACCATGACGGAGATCTATTCTTCTGGTATAGTCTACTATGTGAACATGAATATGCCTTCAGCCGTGCATGTAATTTTTAGAGTGGGATTCTCTTATACTCTTTTAGACAGTTTATATGTACATGTATACAAGTATATAACCGTATGCATACTGTAGAGTGTAAAATATGTATCTGTATTTGAAATATTTATTTAATCATGATGAACAGAGATGTATTCCTAGTCTTCTGATATTACAGATGATTGGTTATGTTATAGTTGGTCAGACTCCATTACATTTAGAAATATAACTTTTTCGGATTTTAAATATTTGCATTTTGTTGCAAAATATAGCATTCACTCCTACTTTGCTGTTGTTTGCTGTGAAATTAAATTAAAATGCACGTGATACACTTTAAAAAAAGAAAATCATTGTAATGATGATGCGTTATGTTTTGAAACCAAATAATTCTATGCGATTGGAAGAAGGTTGGCAAAGAGGAAGGATTTCCAAACAAAAGTTTTTACGCATGTTAATGAGTTCATGGCTGTCGAATATACTCAATGAGCTCCCAATGTCTTTCTGCAAAGGAACATTGGAAATTTAGTTACCGAAAATACACTATTATTAATGACAAAATAGCGATAGAGCGAGTTTGGTTAATGGTTAGCAATGCATTCTGATTATCGACATTATTCAAGGGGCATTTATTCTATTACATATTTAGGCAAACAGTGCAAATCTAAATATTATATGCCGTCAAAGTATTGGGTTTTCAATCATTTCCACTGAATCTACTATCGTACACAAATAATGTGATTCAATCTTCACTTATAGCTACCCCCCCCCCCCAGGAAGAAAAAGAGAACATGAAATACCCCTAAAAAAAGAACTTTTCACTGAACTGCAAACCTGTCAAAATTAAACCATCGTTTCTCAGCATTGGTAACAAATAGAAACGAGATGAGAAGAACGATCGCCATGGAGACCAGAAGTACAATACATCGTGCACGACATACACATAGGCCTATCATCATTACCCATGCAATGAGCCATGGCATGAACACCGCTCATAGGCGCCGGAAGTGGGGGGGGGCAGGGGGGGCAGTTGCCCCCCAGTCAAAAAAGTGGGGGGGCAAAACGCATTTTTGCCCCCCCAAAACGCCCCCCCCCCCCCCCTCAAAAAAAAAAAAAAAAAACAGTAAAGGAGTAAACATGGCTTGTATTTTTAATCCAAAAGAACGTAACAACAATAAAAACCTGAATTAAATCACATATACAATTCCATTCAAAGAAACGGAAAGTTCACAGGAATTATATTTCATAAACATTGCGCATGCCACCTATACGGTATTTATCAATGGAGGTGTCTATAATAGCGATACGCGCATATCGTGGACATATTGTGCGAGAATGGGAAAGCGTGTCCGTTTTTTTGTTATAGGGGTGAGAAGACATGAGCCCTTGAACGCTGGCGTACTGATGGGGGGGGGGGGGGTGATGTATTTCTTATTCGAAACAATTGATTACAAATGTTGATGTTGTGACATGATTTTCCGGCATTTTTTCTCCATTTCTTTTGTAAGTCATACCTTTTTATGCGTTTGTTGGAAAATAAGAAATTCCCAAATTACAGTCAGGCGAAATACGCTAATTTAGAAGCCTTTATGTCATGGTCTGCAAAGTGGCTGGGCTCGAGCCCCCCCCCCCTCCTTTTTGAAAAAGTATGTTAAAGAAAAAAGAAAGAAAGACGGAGAAAAAAATAAGTGACCTGCCAATGTCACAAATAAGGTATAAAAAATGCTCATCTGACCGTAATTAAATGCTTAAAACCCCAGAGCTTACGGGGGCTCCGCCCCCGGACGCCACCAAGGGACCTAAGGCGGGCCCCTGGATGCTCATCTGACCGTAATTAAATACCTAAAACCCCCTGGACCCCACCAAGGGCCCTAAGGCGGCCCCCTGGATGCTCATCTGACCTTAATTAAATACCTAAAACCTCTGAGCTTCCGGGGGCTCTGCCCCTGGACCTCACCAAGGGCCTAAGGCGGGCCCCTGGATGCTCATCTGACCGTAATTAAATACCTAAAACCCCTGAGCTTCCGGGGGCTCTGCCCCCTGGACCCCACCAAGTGCCCTAAGGCGGCCCCCTGGATGCTCATCTGACCTTAATTAACTACCTAAAACCTCTGAGCTTCCGGGGGCTCTGCCCCCTGGACCTCACCAAGGGCCCTAAGGCGGGCCCCTGGATGCTCATCTGACCGTAATTAAATACCTAAAACCCCTGAGCTTCCGGGGGCTTTGCCCCCTGGACCCCACCAAGGGCCCTAAGGCGGCCCCTGGATGCTCATCTGACCTTAATTAAATACCTAAAACCTCTGAGCTTCCGGGGGCTCTGCCCCCTGGACCCCACCAAGTGCCCTAAGGCGGCCCCCTGGATGCTCATCTGACCTTAATAAATACCTAAAACCTCTGAGCTTCCGGGGGCTCTGCCCCTGGACCTCACCAAGGGCCCTAAGACGGCCCCTGGATGCTCATCTGACCGTAGTTAAATATCAAAACCTCTGAGCTTCTGGGGGCTCTCCCCCCCCCCTTGGAACACGTCAATTGCCTTACAGAGGGCCCCTGGATGCTCATCTAACCGTAAATAAATACCTAAAACCCCTGAGCTTCCGGGGGCTCAGCCCCTTGACCCCCTGCCGAGGCTCATTCCCTGGACCCACGCCAATTACGCTCTACCTGATCGATAATACTTCACTTTGAAAAACGTTCCGCGGGACCTGCATGTAACGTGTAAGACTGGTGGTGATGCAGATTTTTCGTGTGCCCCCCCCCCCCCCTTCCGAACTTTTTGTCTCATTACGTCACTGCCCCTTGAAAGTGAGCCCCCTGGAATGTTTGCCCCCCCAGTCCCAAACTGCTTCCGGCGCGCCTGACACCGCTAATTAGTTGTTGAAAACCGAATTTAATTCTACTATGATAACGATAAGTAGGTGATCATGAACTGATGAATGCAGCGCTGAGAAAGCGCAAGCAAATAATAATGTAGGCATAGTGATTTGTATCAATATTATTATTCAAATTCAATTTCCGCCATTCGAGGCATGATAAAATGTATTTTTAAAAAAGGAGAAACAAAATAAGAAAGAAAATGTCCTCAATAGTTGATGACGTCATTATATCATTAACACAAATTAACATGACAATGATGAAGCTCGATTCAAGTGCAAGCTAATACTTATATCAAATATCACATTTTTCATTTATGAATATACATGCAGTTGAACTGAGAAAATGAGAAAGAAAGAAGAAAATGGCCTCCAATAAGAGGAATCCCACGAAAAGAAGAAGAGAAAGAAGGAAAAAAAGACCAAGGGTATTAAAAAAGAAAAAGGTCGAATAAAATAAGACAAGATAATGAATGATATATAGATGAAGAATAAAAGACCAAGGGCAAAGGTTGGAGAGCGATGACGAGAGGGAATTCGGAGGAGGGAGGAAGGGATTTTTCAAGAAAATGGCTGCGCCCATGTCATGCTGAAAGGCATCACATCGTGCCAAGAATATCTTCATTCATATAATTATATCTCTTGTATATTTCCGTAAGGAATATTGTACATCAATGGGCATGATTACATCTTATTTTTTCAGAACACCAGTTACACTAATTCTTTGGGTGAGGTTTCCTTTAACTTCACGCACAATAATTGCGTCCTTGCCTTGTACTCGCAAGTATAATGGTCCCAGGTCTTCGGTCTTCGTTTTCCAAACACCCGGGGCCCGAATTTCGTCTGCTTGTTTATAGCATGTCAAATAAAATGTGATAACGGATTAACTTGACTGAGTTAGATCTTGTTTTTTTTTCTTCTTCTTGTTTTGTTCTAATTCTGTAATATACAGTACGTAGACCTGCGGGTGCACCATGTGTGTGTGTGTGTGTGTGAGAGAGAGAGAGAGAGAGAGAGAGAGAGAGAGGATTGAGGAGTCCAGAAAAGGACTCTGACTCGGTAATCTTTCTTGGGGGTGTGTAATCCTGACGACGGATAGTCAATCTGTTCGAAACGTCGAGCCACTCATCCTCTCCAAGCGCTATAGTTCTCCTTAGAACTATAAGCTAAGAAAGATAACAAACCAGGGGCGTACGCAGGGGGGGGGGGGGGGGGTTTGGGGTTCAAACCCCCCCCCCCCTTGGTATTTTTATGTGTGTAAATCCCCTAAAAAAACTAACCCCCCCC